ACATTTTTATGTCGCCACAATATTATCTAAAATTTTAAAGACAGTAATTTAAACTTTAAACAAATATAAACAAAACGTGGTATCAGAACGGTACGTATGAGCAGGAAAGACTGAGCTTGAGATTCATCGCGGTCTCTTTTGTACCATGCCGTTAGCATCGCCGTTGCAGTTACCGCAGTCAACGTTACGGCGTTCCAACCGCCCACATATGCGTTAGTAGCACCTTTTTATTTAACTTATTTAATTCAGTACTTATAGCTTAGAATAATTTAAAATATAATAAAATAAATGTTTCTTCTTACAATTATTTTAAAGGTTATTCTATTCTATATATTCTACTAAATATTTAAAATATTGTTTCGTCGCAATTTCTGAATAAGAGATGCGGCCGCCGGTATCATGAACTTGTAGCGGCCGTTTTGCCGACGAAAGCTTTTATGACCATCATTTATTTCGTCATATTAAATGAAATGCAAGATATAATGTATTTAAAGTGTGTTATAAAGTCATGTAATTGTAATATTATTTGTATTGTGATTAAAAATACCGTTTTGATGTCATTTCAGACGATGATATCGCAGAAACTATTTCAGAAGCGCCGTAACGCCGCCGTTTGCGGCGAATAGCGCGTTTGGCCGCCAATGCGTATATAGATTTTCAATACGGATATGTATGTACATATTATGAGAATCTATACTTTCACAATTGTGCTTTTTATATATGAATTTTATGTGTAAATTAAATGTTCATTTGAACTTTTAATTAAGTTACATTTAAATTAAATGTTCATTTGAACTTTTAATTAAGTTACATTTAAATTAAATGTTCATTTGAACTTTTAATTAAGTTACATTTAAATTAAATGTTCATTTGAACTTTTAATTAAGTTACATTTAAATTAAATGTTCATTTGAATTTTTAATTAAGTTACATTACAATTAAAGGGGAAGATCTGTATCTTAGGCTGCAAATTGGGCATTTTGTTTTTAATTGTTCCTACTAAAATAACAGTTAGTGGTTTTTTATGCCATATAACGATTAAATACCATTACTGTAGTTCAAAAAACATATCAAATTAAATTGATACGAGAACCTAGCACTCATTGTAATGTATAAAATGTCCGTATCAATCCGAATAAATTTTAATAATCAACAAAATAGAAGTACTTCAAAGCAAAGAACCACTTTTTCGAAGAAAAGTAATAATTTTCCAAGCACCAAATACAAGATAATGAAATCTATACAACCGTTCTTAAAAAATTTCTGGTCGGTCCGATTATTATTTCTTTAAATTTTCATATCATTAGGTTGCAAAATACGGTTTCAAGAAAAACTCATTTAAAGTTAGTTCAAACGTGTTATAGTTATGTGGGGACACGTTTTTTAAATGTATAGAACTTTTTTAATTGTTCAAATTTCTACTTTTTGTTCAAA